TACACCGCGCTACACGTCACACAGCTTGCTACGCACTGTAGTTACAGCTGTGTACAGTCTATCACTCTCTCAGCACTTGTTTCCTAGTCAGTCCGCAATAACTGCAGACTCCATTGTGGATCGATTTTTTACATAACTACGTCTACTTTATACTTCACTCATTAGATTAGACTTTTGGCTCAATTTGAATCTAGATTTAGGCTATAATCTAGTTTTTTGTCAGGCCCTAAGATAAACATTGAGTCATGAAAGAGATTACTTCAGAAATCGGTGAAGCTAGTAAGTTTATTACAAAAAGAATATTTTGAAAATATACTTCAAAAACTATATCACCTACCTAGCGATAATTTTTTGTCGCTAAGTCATGTATTCATCAATGTCGAGACTACCGACCCAGGCTGATTCAAAGAATTATGATTTTCAAAATTAATCTCGTCTTTGCTAGGCAGCGACATCTAGCGGACTACATCTAGCGGACTTTTGGCCAATACAATATGTACATTTTTTAAGAAAAAACTTTGCACAACTAGAGAACTGACATCCTAGATTATAGCTTAAATATAGATTTTAGTAAATATATTGTTTGCATTTTAGGACATTGTAAAACAAAATGTAAACCTAATATGACTTAAAACTACAGCAGCGCCTCTGTCGGTGAAAATTGGTATAGTATTTTGATATTGAGTATTAAAAATATATTCTCAAGTTCGATATCCATGTCGAGTGATTTAACTATAATGTATTTCTGCAGGAAAAAATTTTGAAAGCACCTATAGTTCCGTTAGCAACCGATAGAGGCGCTGTTGTCTTGTAAAAAAAATGTTACTAATATTTTTAAATTTTTATTGTTGTAATAATTTTATTAAAAAACCACTGCCAATTTGGACTGATATTATCGTACACCAAATACCAGTGGCGTGCACAGATTTTCGAGACAGGGTAGGCAACTAAATATCGTATGATTAAAGCCCTCCCCCCCGGTCATATCATATCAGTAATCATACTCCCACAAGACAGGTACATGTACAGAATACATTTTGTTGAAAAGTGCGTCCAAGAATATTGTGGTTTATTCTTTCGCCAAATTACATACACTGACATCTCGCGTATTTTTTGTAAAGTACTACATCAGCTATCGAATAAGCCAACAAAACTTACAAATAATGAAGCATCTATTTATTATACTAATAATGAATCATAAATTTGATGAACCAAATTCAATTATCAAATTGCTAAATAATCTATTCAAAATCATAATTACGAATTTAAGAACGTAGGTACCTACCAACAAACAAAACAACAACAAGCGCGGCCGGCTGTGGCCGAGCCGAGTATAAGCGGTACATTTGTTATTACATTACATAATTATTAATAATAAATTAATATTTATAAATGAATTATCAATCAATAAACAAGAACATCATATAAAAGATCCATTATAGTACCTACATATTTACATTACCTACCTTTGACTTGGGTCAATTCTCGTAACTTGAGTTCTGCCTATGGTCATTACCTGAATCTAGTCGTTATAGGACACATATTTGCGAAAACTCACTGTTTTTAACTTTAAACAAACACAAAAAATTACCTATTATCAACACAAACTTCACAATCGAATAATATACTAGACACTGATAAACAAATACACTATTTGAAAAACCGACACCTTTATGTTTAAAACTAATTCCTTATAATTTAAACGAAAACATAAACAAAGCGATCGCACATCACATGAAAACAATATGGCCGAAAACATTGGAAAGTCATTACACATCGTAGTCAATTGAGTGTTTATTATAAAAAAATTATAGCTAAAACATTAAGGCAACCCAGTGTTTAATTATAAAAAAAAACAAAACGTTAATATACATAAGTCAAATGGAATTGCATCATTGTCTTATTATTATTTTCCAATAAGAAACATTCGTTGATAATAATTTGAAACTTTGAGTAGCGGCAACTTGACGTTTCGATAACTTCCTTTTAACTTTTAAAATAATAAAGTCAACTCCTCGTTTAAAGTTTCTATAAAGCGACAATGCGTAAAAATGTTAAGATTTAATTAAAACACCTGAAACATATTTTTGTAGTATGCATAATTATAAAAAGACATTCCCATTATATCGAACGCGTTCAGAAGTTTTAACAAAAAATTCAATAGATGGCGCAGATTCACAAATTTCAAAAAGTCCGGCTAGATTGAATCGTGTAATAATTTTTTGCGTTTATGAATGGTTATTCTGTGCTGTGACCATAGTCACGTGACCTTCACGCATGCGCGTTGCATACTTTTTGTGACGTCACAACCACCAACCAAGATTTAAGGAATAGCAGCGCATGCGTAGTGCGTGCGGCGCGCATTCATTGCTTTACAAAGGCGGTGCGGTCCGTGTATAGTATATGTGAATGTATATTTATGTTAGCCGTTTTTTTACAAACTTTTATTATATTATTGAATCTTAATAAACGCGTTAGTACATTTTATGTCAAGCAAAGCCTATTTGCCTATATGGACTGCACGCCACTGCCAAATACATAACACGACATATTAGTTTTAAATTCACCATAATCACAATTATTTTTTTAAATTTCATTTTTTTCTGGGTCTTCGCGCTATTCTGTGGTAACTTTGTCTATTACATGGGACTCATAACATTAATAGTGAAAAGTGGATGTTACATTGTACAGTGGCATTAAGTGCCGTAATGTGCACCTCTGCCTAATCCTACAAGGATAAAAGGCGAGACGTAATTATGATTATGATACAGTTGAAAATCTAATAAAATACATTTTAAGTAAAGTGTAGATTGATCTGCTGCCCACTGTACCTAGTTACAGCTACAATCATTTTAACTATAAATCGCGGGTAACTCACGTGAATATAGGTACTGAGAAAAGCTCTACTAATTTCAAACCACGCACTCTGCTCATGAGGATAAACCTCATGAGCAGAGTGCGCGGTCGCTAGGGTTGCCACCTTTTATTTTGATATTTAAAGTACATTGACGATTATAGGTAAGAAAAAAAAGTACACAGTACAAAAATAAAGTACAATTTATTCTTATTTAGTATTATATTTAAAAATATACTTTTTATTGCTTTTTGCAGTTTGTATAAAATTAGTATCTTTACCAAACAATGGCATTGAAATACTAAACAATTGCATCTTTAATAGAATAATTGTCTAAGTGGCGCTGGCGAGTGGCGAAATCGATTCAACATAAGTCGATGAATATCGATGTCGAATTTTGCAAAAATAAAGTATTTTCGTGTACTTTATTATTATTCTTATAAAGTATAGAGTACAATTACCTAAAATAACGTACAATACTTTATTATAAAGTACGGGTGGCAACCCTAGCGGTCGCGGTCGTGGTCTAGGTTATTTATCCCAATCGGCTGAACGAATTTAAATGATTTGTTGTTTATGCATTCAAGTGGATATGCAGGACAACGTCTGTCGGGTCTGCTAGTAGTTACATACAATCATTTTAGTTTATTAGGCATCACTGCTCAACTACTTTCATCATTAATTTGTTCATAAAATCATTCATTCTAAATGTATTATCATACATGTTTCATGTTTGCTCTTTTCTATTTTTATATTATTTTGAAAAAGTATATTTATTTTGTGTGGAATCGAAATAAAATTTGAAAAAAGTATTTAATATTTTTCAGTTGATGATTTGCTAAATATTGTACACTTGACATTGACAATTGGATCAGTGTTGCCATTATTAAAAATCTTGCCACAACACAGACACAAATAAAATTTTAATCTTTATTTTTTAAACTAAATTTACCTACTAAACCAATTTTGATATTTTCTTTTTTTCTAATAGAATAAACACTTTGATTTTCCCCTTTTTGAACCTATTAATTTCCTTTAAAACTACAATGGCAACACAGTAGGGTAAATACACCTGTCACCAACACAAATGCACCTGTCACCAACACCGAAAACGTAAGGTAGAAGCACCTATAATCGGCCATGCATAAAAATTTGATGAACACGTATTAACTGTCTTTCCTTAACCGACTAACCGATAGAGAGGCATTGGCGAGAGAGAAAGAGTTACGAGAGAAGAGATCAGAAGATGCAGCGAAGATAAAACAAGTGGAGAATGCTTCGAGGGAACAAATTGAACATCTTACTAGAAAATGCGCCTGTTTGAGGAAACTGTAAGTACTTTAATACAATTTCATGTAAAAAATTATCTTCTTTGCGGTTTCACTGTACCGTATTCTCCTTAATTTGAGATTGAAGAAGTATTGTAGCTTAACTTGAAAATATATCCAAATATTTACTCTGATCAGTGCCTTTAGCCAAACGCCACTTTAGCGCTTGTCTACAGAGAGAGTAGAAAACTAAATGTATGGGGATAACACTGACAGTGTAACACGTCAATTCCATATAATTTGGTTTTCTATTCTACATATAGACAAGCGCTAAATGGCATTTTTGGCTACAGCTGCTAGTCAGATACAAATTCTCTGTAAAAATCGGTCCACCGATGACACCATATACGAAGATTAATTATATTTTACTTCTCATCCTTATTAAACTGTCAAACACCAAGCGGTCACCGGTGACCGCGACCTATTGTTCTTTAATTGTAAACCGGTACTCGACGAGTTAAGTATTTTCAACCACCACAATTGGGATGATGACAGAGTATGAAAATTAAAAATGTAATCAGTCCGTAAGTTAGATAATGAAAAAATATTAGACACGTATTTTTTTATTTTGTCGTATAACAAAATAATACTTAGATAAAACGAACCAAAGTTTAGGAGTGGGGGCTAAAACGTCATTTCTACGTATAAAATGTACATAGAAGTGACGTCACGCGACATTTCAAATCAATATATCGTCGAAAGTATTCGTTTCTGTAAGAAAATAAAAAATACGTGTCAAGCATCTACCCTATTCTCTTCATAAATACGTTAAAACTAAAAGCTACATACTTCTTATTTATTCCAATTTATTCCTACAGCTTCGACGATATTCGAGCGAGGCTTACCGCTCGGGAGCGAGCGGCCGAGCAGGAGTCCAAAGCCAAGGATAAGGAGCTCCACCAACTGAGGGGCGAAGTCGCCAGACTCACCAAGCTGCTATTCGAACAAAAGTAAGTAAAATGCAGTTGACTGGACATCTACACTACACGAGTCACTGTTCACATGTCAACATTAGCTCATGACGATACCAGCGTACGTGTGTCACTGGACAGTGAACCTCGCTACCATCAGTTGACTGGACATCAACACTACACGAGTCACTGTATACATGTCAACATTGGCTCATGACGATACCAGCGTACGTGTGTCACTGGACAGTGAACCTCGCTACCATCAGTTGACTGGACAATCTTACTACTCCCAAATGATTTTACTAAGATTTTAAACTCAAACGTCACACATTCAAGGTGAATGGTAATTATATTCTTCTAATGCATGAGCCTATTTCTGCACGAATTCACGCCTAGTCGTTTTTCTTAGCACTCCAAAATTAGGCGCACGAACAAGAGCTGATGGTTGCGAGACTGCGCCCCCCGAGGAGACGGCAGCGGAGCCCCGGCGCAAGGGTATGTCACCCTGTATATAGGTGAGCACTTGTCGCTATAGTGTGTGGAATGGCTGATGAAACACCCTGTGTTTTGGTTGATGTTGGGCAATTGTAGTTTAATCACAATTTTGCTTTTGGTAGATGGCGCTAGTTTCGTGTTTGGTCGTGTTAGTCTTACAGCTCGATGTAAATTCTTTTTATGGCATAAGCCAGTAGACGAGCAGACAGATCACCTGATGGTAAGCAATCGGCGTCGCCCATGAACACCTGGAACACCAAAGGCATTACAAGTGCGTTACCGGCCTTTTGGGGATTAGGAGTTTGAGGATAGTTGGGGATTCAGGAATTGGGGAGATTGGGGAAGGGGAGGGTAATTAAATAATTAAATCATTTCATATTTTATTTCTAAGGCTGTTATCAGTATGAGATCTCTTCTCTGGTGAGTTTAAAGGCTCTCATTTGTTCCATACAAACTTTGTTCTGATAATAAACAACACAAAATTTAATGCAGTTATTTTGGTTATACATGCATAAGTACATCTTTTACATTTTGGCGAACACTTTTCATATAGACTTTTTCCTTCATTAAATTAGAGCATATTTTCCATACGAAGGCCGGAGTCTCGCAGTCGCTCTCAAGTCCACGGCCTCACAGAAAACAGACGTGAAACAACGCTTGCGTTGTGTTTCGTCGTGTTAGTGAGGTTACCGGAGGCCCAATTACCCCCTTCCCCAGTCTGCCCAATCCCCGAATCCCCCACAATCCTCAAACTCCTAATTCCCAAAAGGCCGGTGACGCACTTATAACGTCTCTGGTGTTTCGGGTGTCCATGGGCGACGCCGATTGCTTACCATCAGGTGATCCGTCTGCTCGTTTACCGGCTTATCTCATAAAATTAAAAAAAATAATCTACATTTTGAAATGAGCACCTACGTTCACAAATCGACTAACTGACAGACTTCTATTTTGACTATAGATCTACCAGACTTAACTCGCTCCTAGCGCCATCTACCTATAAGTTCAAACGCGATAATATTACAACTCCGTGTAATTTTTGCCCAACGTTGACCATAACACGAGGAGTAGTGGTTAACCAAAGGTATTTGACCCTTCTGTGTTAAAGTTTCTGTAAAAATTTTACTTAAAAATGAGTATTTTTTATAATCTCAAATTGTAAAGCATGAGTTTTTTTACGTTTCGATTGAAAAAAAAACTTTCAATGCGGAATCATGGCTTTTAGTCCTAAAGCTGGCAGAGTAGAATACATTATTGGCCATACTCTTCCCGCAGGTGTCGATAATATACCCGACTAAGGATCTGCACATCTGACAGAGACCGGGCAGCAGCGCTCTCTGATAAACCTGGTATCTCCAACCCGATCCGATGTAAGCGTGGATGGATATTATGCCAAACTATCTTATGTATAGAAGACACATGTTCCAACAGCGGACTGTCACGGGTCATTGATGTGTGAAATCAATGCCCCGATCGCAGTGTAAAAGGTTCAGATTTACCAGAGGGCGCTGCTGCCCCGTCTCTGTCTAATGTGTACCTAAGATGGCTATGTGCGCGACGGTGGCGACGCGTAGCGTTTACATTTGCGGAAGCTGTCAAATAATAACAATGCAAACATTGTAATTTTCTTTGCAATTAATATAAATAAAACCAAAAATTAAAATAGTATTGTTGACATTATTTAAGTGCAATTTGTTCAATAGTTTTACTGTAAAATGAATGTAATAGATAATAAAAACCGGGTTTGAAACTATTACACATATTATTAGTTTCCAACCACAAACTGAGACAAAAGGCAATAAATTAGTATTAGCCGAGCATGTAAGAAATGTGGAAGAACTACGACATAACGGCCAGAGCTACTTAATACGAGCCATGGTCCATTTCTTTGCTTTGATTTTGTACTGCAATTAACACATTTGACAGCTGATCATCCGCATTTGTTTCCAATTTCTGCCGTGTTGTGCGCTGCGGTCGTTATCTGTCCGCCACTACTAGCTTTGCACATAGCCATTGCGTGGGAAAAGTAGGAATCCTGACTATTCTACACTAACGCTACTAAACTTACGTTGGTATACGAGAAAAATTCATGCCTTTCGTTTTTTTTTTCAGTCCATTTTTTTGTTAGCTTTTTTTTTGTTGTTTTTTTTTTGTTGTGTATTTTCAAATTATACACCGTACCCTGCTAGGTAAGCAGGGTACCTTTTACTGTGTTATATGTGTCCATAGAAATGTTTTGTAAATAAATCGTCATTAAACATTTGTTTTAGTGATTAACAACTTTTCTTTTAATATGGAGTACATGGGAAATCGTAGTGTCTTGATAACTTGGATGCTTAATCTTGAATCCAATTCCGATCGATCGACATTGGTATTGTGAAATTTCGTACTCTTGAGTTGCAACACTAGCGCCCATTGCATCCGTAGTGCGTGGATATTGAATGAACTAAATTGTATTGAGTTTGTCTTTATATTCCGTACTCTGAATACTATTGTAACAGCTACGATTGTGGTTGTATAGTTTTGACATTATATGATTATTGAGATTGTATTGGATTTAAATTGCATTGACATTGAGATTGGTTTCAAGAGTAAGCACCCTGCTCTAGCGGCTTAACCTACGCTCTTGTAGGTTAAAATTTAGTCTTCGTGTTCAGGTTCAGGAGTATAATCTACCCCTGTTTCTTTCATCCCTATCTCTTCAACCATTTTGACGTCGGAGCCGCGGAGAACCTAACGGGTAACCGGGGCTCCGGCTCGACGTGCAGGAGAAGGAACGGGGTGGTTTTTAGTCAGTAAGAGTCTGACACTCCGTCCCGCCTCACCCAGGCGGGAGCAGTCGTTCGATGATTATCCCCCCTTAAAAAAACTTTTCGACGTGATTGAGTAATAAACGAACACACATACTCACTCACAAACTACGGCATTTATAATATAACTAGCTTCTGCCCGCGACTTCGTACGTGTAATCCCGTTTTCTCACGTTTCCGTAGGATTTTCAGGACGTTTCTGTCTTAAGAACTAGAAAGGAATTAGTGATATCGGTCCAGCCATTCACGCGTGATGCCTTGACTTAGGGAAAAGGGATTCATTTTATATTTTATATATATAGTGTGTTTCGCGGGAGTGTACTTAGTTACTGATAGCTGTAACCAATAACGGCGACGCATATTAGAACATTTTCTGGTGTTATGGGCATCCACAGGCAGTATACGATAACCCATGCACTCTGTTTATTTTTAGTAGACTTGATTTTTGTTAGCTGTATTTACAAAAAATTAATATAATTGTTTTAAAACATTTTTCCAAATTAATTCCAAAATTTCTGGCTTAAATTCTATTCTATGCTTTTTGATCTATTTTAGTAACTTTTAAATAATGAAATAGTTAAAATAAATGAATGTTATTGTAGAAGAATAAAATTATATAATAAAATAATTCTAAGCACGTGCCTTTTGAGACAAATGGCGGTTTACAAGAGAAATTTTAAAACTGTAAAGCTTGCTATTCGTGATCCGTTTTAACCTTTTTAGAAAAGAATTTTCTGCAGCCGGTTGACTTTCATCAATCTATCAAAATTCTTTTAATTATTATTTTTATTAGCAAGCAATGAAAATTTAATTTTACAAATTATTATAATGAAGTCACTTTATACGTAAACTGAGTATCCTTCGTCCAAACCGCTATTTGTCTAACACAAATACTAAACAAAAGCTTATTTATATTTTTTTTTCTTTTAACAACCAACAGGTGGGACTCTTCGAACACCCGAACCAATCCGGAAGAACTCGATGCTATCCGATTTCAGCCGAGCTCGTCTAACTCCCGTAGAAATTCAAGGAGGTCGTCCGCGGGCCAAAAGCGTGGATCTACCGGCAGTGCAAGTGCCAGTTAGGATAAAGCAATTGGAAGAGAGGAATAAAGAATAAAGTAATTAGTTTTTTATTGTACATTGGCGATTTGAGACCTTATTTTTTGCTTGTTGAAGTGTGATTTGGAATTGAAATCTTTCGATTTAGGAGTATTTTCTTAGGTACAAAATTAAAACTGCGTCGGAAGCTGTGACTTAGATTCTCGCAGTCCTAATTAAAGTTACTATTTTCTTCGTCATCATATCATATCATCAGCCATAAGACACCCACTGCCTCACATACTCCTCCACATTGGCTGATCACCACATCAATCGGTTGTAAGCGTCCTTCATCCAGCGACTTCATGCGAGTATTGTTATACACAAAACTAACAATCTTCTATATATTAAATTTAAACGATAATGTGCCATTTTGACTCAACCCTTAAGCTCATTATCATGCCCCCTAATTCAATAGTGACTCGACATCTCAGCCAATGTATTATTAAAAACTATTTAGTTCTATAAAATGATTCTCAATTTAGTAACTTAGTAGTCAGTCGTTTTTTAAACTTATTAATTTCATGATAATCTAAGTATAAGTACAGAAGATAGAGCTTCTTCCCTTGATTCGAAATAGAAGAGTTTCTATCTCTGGCACCGGTCACTGAAGACTTTGAGATCAACATTTCTAGTAAAAATATAAAAAGCTTGGATTAAAATGATTTTTCTTATTGAGCATAATGGAAAAAAATCTGAAATTCAGGTTAGCCGACTGACTAAAAAAGTTAAATTCTCTAATACTTTATACTCTTTTGCTTATTCGCCTTTAATACCGAAGAGAAAGGGTATCAAACGTATACTATTAAATAATATAAGTGCAATAATAATAATATTTAATAGATATTTTAATAATACTCATTATTATTATTTAATGTAAAATAACATCTGCAAAGAATATTATATTGATGTCTTACTAAAAAAAAGTATTTAATGAAATGCAAAATTTTAAATTTGCCATGTATTTTGTTTTTTTTTTCAAATTTATTGCGCTACTCGATAAAACCTTTATCATTCGTCTCGTTTTGGGTAAATAATGATCATCAAAAATGCATCATTTTTAAAATTAAATTCCGTTAAGTCATTTTCCGCCACATTGTCCTATAAGAAATTACCTTAAAATGATAATTAATAAGGTACTCCTCTCTAAACCACTATTATTTTTGAGTTATTAAATGAAAACGAAATCTACTCAAAATAAATTAAGGTCCAATACTTAAGGTCTGTTTCATAATATCTATAATAGGTCTCAATTAACTAAAGTGAAATATTTTTCTTATGAAAAATATGTCAAATTATGCGTTAGTTAGGCTGAAAGCAATATAAAATTCTACAAGTTACACACGTAAATATACTAAGAAGAGCTCTATTAGTTTCGAATCACAGAGGGACTCTTTCTTATGAGCAGCGTGCGCGGAGGTGTCGATGTTGCGCAGTTTCTCTGTAAGTAAAATAACTCGTAATTTTTAGTTCATTCAGCATGTCTCACAATAGTCATTATAATAAATATAAAAGATATTGTGAAACAGACTTTTATAGAAATAGAAATAAAGAAGTGTGAATGAAAATAAATTATGAATCTCAAATCGTTTCACGATTAGCAACCATATACTTTTTATGCAAAGGCTTTCTAGTTTCTGCCTATTTTTAATGTCGTCGAGTGAATAGGAATCTTTACTTCGTAATAAATCGATATTTAAGATGAATGGTTATGCAACTAAAATGCATTCTCTTAACATTTATATAAAAGCTGTATTTAATCGTTGACTGTGTACATATTATTATGATTTTTTGTAATAAATATTTTGAAAATACGGTCTTGCGTTTTATTTTTCCTGACGAAGTTACAAATTACAAACAATCTCGTAGTCCTCTTAATGGAAAACAGTAAATACACATCATGTAAATAATATGATGATAATTACAAGATACAGGCACTGAAGAAATTTAATGTTTAATTTTAAATTACTATCATTCTTAGTCACTCGAGCCCCGTAAGAACGACCAAGTTAAAAAATAACACAACTAAGATAAGCGTATTTTCTTTTATAGAAAATTATGACATGACAGATATTTATATAGAAGCTAATAATAATCATGTAAATTTGTGAAAAGGTGTACATACAATCAAAAGATTGGATAATTTAGTAATAAAGTTTGTGCTGCTCTGAGATAAACAAAACGTTTCAACCTAATAATATCTGTCAATGTCAAATGTCACAACATTTGCTCAGTCCTAACCTAACCTAAAAACTGAGCAAATAATATTTTGAAAATCTGCAAATATTTAAGGAATATTCCTTAAAATGTCGGCTAAAAACTTATTTTTAAAGCCAGGCTTCGTGCGGGCGCCATTACAGAATGGTGTGGGGCGCTATGTGTGTCAGTTGCAAAGAATTGTGTTAAAATTCTGCAAATCCCATGGATCGAGTCGAGGACTAAGGTAATTCGGTTTTAAATTTATATTTAGAATTGTTAATACTTTGATTTATATAGATTTTAACAATAGATGATGTGAGAAGAGATTGACTTCGTTGTTGAAATAGTACATACACACTATATTATACTATCATTTATGTTATTAGGATAGGAGATCCTAATTAGATTACGGGAGGTAGCCTATTACTAAACAACCATAATTATACTTCCTCTTATAATAAATATAATTAGGAGGCTAGCGTTAGGCAGTTGGATCAAGGGCTTGATACAGAAGGCAGTTGTTTTTGAAATGGTGCGCATCCTGAGGAGGTTTCTGCCTCTGGAGCCCTAACATACATAACATCACACCTTGTATTCCCGAAGGGGTAGTCAGAGGTGCAAATTACGGTACTTAGTGCCACTGTGGCGACGCGTGCCACATGTCAACGGATGACGTCACAAGAATCCTACATCGCACATGCAAAGTTTACAAGCGAATAAACACGGATAGAAAATCCCAACGAACAACTGTTGGGCAGAAAGCCCGCCAGGCACGATCACCTCGCCTGGTCGGAGGATCCTCCTTTTCCGATCTTAGGGAACTATACTCTCTGTTCCCTAAAGTGGTGACCCCGACGTGATTGGAAGCAACCTTCACTTCACGGAGCAGATCAGCACCGTCATCCGTATTGCCATCCCTCTCATTCATCACTTCTCCGCTGAGCGGTAATCAAGTCGCAGCCAACCAGCATCCTCGGCCTCATCAGGGACCACCATTACCTGCAACGAAGTTGTGCAGCCTGGTTCTTCCCTACGGCCTCACCAGCGTCTAGGCACAGCACTTCTGCACACGGTCTGAAGGACACCTCCTCCCGTCAACGCGGATGCCGGCCACTACGCACCTACCCTCGCAGCATCTCTTCCCCGACTCACCGTGGGACACTGCGAACTCATCTCTCCGACTCACTGGAGTATCGCCCTGCACCGCTCACCCGACTCACTGGGCACTCAGCGGCACAGTTCCGACTCACTGGAACTAGGGACTTTCTACACTGGCTCTGGCACCGCTCATCTCAAGCATCGACAGCCGTCTCAGCGGGATCGACCTCCGGTCTTGGGAGGGAGTGATGTGGCGACGCGTGCCACATGTCAACGGATGACGTCACAAGAATCCTACATCGCACATGCAAAGTTTACAAGCGAATAAACACGGATAGAAAATCCCAACGAACAACTGTTGGGCAGAAAGCCCGCCAGGCACGATCACCTCGCCTGGTCCGAGGATCCTCCTTTTCCGATCTTAGGGAACTATACACTCTGTTCCCTAAACCACTATACAATGTTACACCCACTTTTCAGTATTTATGTTATGAGTCCCATGTAATTTTATTTTAATATAATTTTAATATAATTATGTATGGGCAAATAAAATATAATTTATTTTAATAGGGGGTGAGCCTATTACCATTTACCAGGCTTTAAGTAATACTTTGTCCGACTCGGGAATCAAACCGAGACCCCTAGTCCAGCAGTCACATTTGTGACCACTTGGCCAACGAGGCAGTCACCATTTCTAATATCCTTGTTATATTACAGAGACTACATAGAACAAGACCTCGTGGATTTTGCGAAGGAGAATCCCGGAGTGGTTGTGTACTTGAAGCCTCGCAGACATCGAGGACCTGTAGTTGTGGCTGAATATTGTAAGACACAACATCATCACGCCTTTTATCCCCAAAGGGGCAGAGGTGCACATTGTACCACTGTACAATGTAACACCCACTTTTCACTAATTATGTTATGAGTCCCATGTAATAGGGGGTGAACCTATTGCCATAGACCGGGCACTATTCCAGACTCCGTGCTACTACTGACAATTTTTTTAAAACCCAGTAATACTTTGCCTGACCCGGGAATCGAACCCGAGACCCCTTGCCCGGCAGTCACACTCTGCCAACGAGGTAGGCAGTATTGTAAGACATACATACATAATACCTACTCATTTTAAATATTGACATTAAGTCATCACATATTATGCCACTATTCGGGGATCGCGGGACGATCTCCGGCCACCGTAAGCGCGGGCCTGCGGACGGCGAGCATGGGTGGCTCCCCGTCCGACCAGAAACAGACCCGAGCGTACGGCGCCGAGCGTTCCGCGCGCGCCTCAAAGAGCCATCAGACCACCACAGATGGGGTCCAACAGAGCCGATGCCGATTCGGAGTCGCGGAGAACCTAACGGTAACCGGGGCTACGGCTCGACGTGCAGGAGAAGGAACGGGGTGGTTTTTAGTCAGTAAGAGTCTGACACTCCCTCCCCTCTCACCCAGGCGGGAGCATACATTCATGATTATACGCCTTAAAAAAAAAATTGTACGTCATCACACCTTTTATCCCCGAAGGGGTAAGCAGTCATCAGTCATGCCACTGTACAATGTAACACCCACTTTTCACTATATTTATTTATATTATGACCTTACCCGGCAATTGCACTTGCGATTCAGCCACCGAGGCACTCTTTATAAAGATTTTTTCTTTTCGTACTTCACAGTAAATGGAGACCGAGTATGGATGAACATGCACAACAAAACGCATTCTGAAATAACCAAGTGGATTGATGTCCTCCGGACACAGCAAGGAGATAATTCCACCACGAGGCTCAGGAAATACCAGTACACTGATCACCCATCCATCCAAGGTCCCTGGACTCCATTCACATTTAAAAACCCAGCGCTCAATACTGCAGAGCTACCGAACCAGGCATACGGAGCAAATGACAGGTTACCGATGTCAGCTACAGAGCAACTTCGGTTGATGTTCGAAGCTCAGAAACTGGGTAAAAATGAAGAATTAAAGACCGCAGAGTGATTGTATAGTTATTTAAGTAGTTTTTTAGTGTAATAAATTGTTTTAGTAAGGTTTTTTTTGGTTTTATTTTATGATATTTTTATTTTTAGAACTCTTCAAATTTCTTGGAAACTAGAGGTATTAGCTAAAAAAATAATGACATTTTCGGTACCAGCAAAGCGTGCACAGCACATGCGTACCATGACGTATCTAATGTTCAAAGGTATTGTCTGCGTAAACAGAAAGCGTATGAAAGAAAGAAGGAAAATTCGTACCGGCGCGCTAAGCAAACTTAGCGTTATCACATCTATTGTGGTCTGTTGAGAATAACATTAAAATACAATACCAAGCTTTGTTGGTCAGTTGATGGAGTCACCCACTAATTTTTCACCACCTGCTCCTGCTCAGTGGCGACCCAAATTCTGTTCTTCTTCTGCTTATAGTGCCTCTTCAATGTTGAAGGTCGACCGTCAGCTTCTTGTATTTCTTCTTGTCGGTAGCCATGCGGAACAATTGTTTGACAGATGTAATGCCGGTCCACTCCCGGATGTTTCGCAGCCACGATTTTCTTCTGCGCCCAGCACGTCTCTTCCCCTCCACTTTGCCCATCATGATTAGTTGAAGCAGTGAATATCTATCGTGTCTAAGCACGTGACCGAGATATTCGATTTTTCGCTTTTTGATGGTCAGCATAATTTTCCGGGTCATTTGGACGCGCTGTAGCACGGACTCGTTGCTGACCCTTTGTGTCCAGCTGATTCGGAGCATACGACGGTAACACCACATCTCGAAGTCTAAAAAGACCACCAAATTCTGTACAAGTCCTTATCCTTAGTCGTCCTCTATGATATGATAGGCTGAATGGAAAGATTAGGAGAATCCTTCCTACTACTCGACCGTCGACGCTCACCCCCGGTTAATAACGTCCCAAGCCCGATGCAAGAATCCCTCTGAGGTTACTCTTGCCGTCCTATACCGGTTGGTGGCGACCAAAATTCTGTACAAATATCCTTATTCCTTGTCTATGAAAGGTACGACTAGTAAAATAAGGATAATCCTACTACTCGAAGCCCACCCCAGGTTAATAGCGCCCCAAATCTGATACATGTATCCATCTGAGGTTAATCTTGCCGCCCTATACAGCAACCGTGATGGCACCCCAAATTTTATGTACCTACGTATCTTTAATTGTCTTCTATAAAGGTAGGACTGATAAAATTAGGAGAATACTTCCACTCGCCGCCCACTCCTGGTTCATGGCGCCCCAAGTCCGGTAGGTACACGAATCCCTCTGAGGCCTGAGGTGATCTCCCTCTGAGGTTATGTATCTCTTGCCGCCCTATACCCGTTGTTGCCGCTCCAAATTCTATACCAGGATCCTTGGATAACATCATCACCACGCCTTTTATCCCTAAAGGGATATGGTGCACATTATGCCACTGTACAATGAAACACCCACTTTTCAATATTTATGTTATGAGTCCCATGTAATAGGGGGTGAGCATATTACCATATACCAAGTAATACTTTGCGCGACCCGGGAATCGAACCCGAGACCCCTTGCCCGGCAGTCGCACTTGCGACCACTCGGCCAACGAGACAGTAAATCCTTAGTTATCTTCTATAAATGTAGGACTGGTAAAATTAGGAGAATCCTACTACTCACCGCCCACTCCCGGTTGATGGCGGCCCGAATTCTATTCAAGTATCCTTAGTCATCTTCTATAAAAGGTGGGAATGGTAGAATTTAAAAGAATCCTACTGCTTGCCGCACACTCCCGGTTGGTGGCGCCCCGAATTCTATACCTCAGTCGTCTTTATGACAGGTACGACTGATAAAATTAAGAGAATAAAATTCAAATACTCGCCGCTTACCTCCGTTTGACGGTGTCCCAAATCGGATACAAGTATTTAACAAAGTTGCAAAACGGAATCCCCTCTGAGCTAATTTTTCACCGCCTGTGTCTGCTTGGCCACTAAGCAGGCGCTCTAAATTCGATACAAATACCAGTCTATAGTCATCCCAAAATTGGGAAAATACCTCTATAACCTGTCCTCCTCTAGAGCCTTTACAGAGGCTCTCAAGGTTATAATTATTCACAAAACATAGCATTCATTGATGCCAGTAGATACAGTGCAGATGCTTTCTACGCTGGATGCATCAACATTTGTAAAGAAAACATCATTGGGAAATAAAACAGATATTTCACTGACATTCACTCCATAAAAAGACTCCATAAAAGTCATAGATTGGACTAACCTCGATCTGGGTGCTTACTCTTGAAACCAATCTCAATGTCAATGCAATTTCAATCAATATCTCAATAATTATTCAATGTCAAAACTATTCAACCACATTTGTAGCTGTTAGCCAAACTCAATACCATTTAGTTCATTCAGTATAGAGTAAGCCTCGGAGGCTTACTCTTGAATCCAATTCGGATCGATCGACATTGGTATTGTAACATTTCGTACTCTTGAGTTACGACACTAGCGCCCATTGGATCCGTATTGTGTGGATATTGAATGCACTAAATGGTATTGAGTTTAGCTTCATAATCCGTACTTACTCTTTATGTTATTGTACAGCTACGATTGTGGTTGTATAGTGTTGACATTAAATAATTATTTAAATATTATTGAAATTGCATTAACATTGAAATTGGTTTCAAGATTATGCACCTAGGTCTACTTTAACCTCACGAAAACTGCTATTGGTTTAATCTCATCGCTTCCGACGGTTTTCCATCGTAATCGATCTTAAGTTCTACACTTAATCTCGCTCCGCGTTATACTAATGGCTAGTACCTAATTTTGCCGTCACCACTTGACACTGGCAGTATAGTCGACAACACCATTTTGGAGACTCGGTTGCCAAAGAAGAAAAAAAAATGGCTACTACTTCAACCGACACGGTGGGATGCCAGGTCAGCCAAAGTTAGCTTTTACCTTGCGGATTTCAAGGTTCGAAGTGTGTGAAAAGTCCATCATCACTTAACTGCAGATCGATCTAGTTTTCTAGCTCGGTTAATTTTGACTTTTTTGGCTACACCCTGATGTCCAGTAGACGGTTTTTTTTTTTTAAGGGGGAAAGTCATCGAATGACTGCACCCGCCTGGGTGAGGCGGAAGGGAGTGTCAGACTCTTACTGACTAAAAACCACCCCGTTCCTTCTCCTGCACGTCGAGCCGGAGCCCCGGTTACCCGTTAGGTTCTCCGCGACAAAGAGTAAACCGTTCACAATTGGGTTCGAACGCGCTACTCAATGCTCGTAAAGCGACTGCACTTTCGATCTTGCCATCAGTGTAATCGTCCAGTAGACGGTAGGCTCGTATTTAGAGTCTACTGAGAATTACTTCAACTAACAAGAGCTACGTCAGCAATAGGTACTATTCTCATCATTGTTTTTCATTTGACCCTTCTTATTTTACTACCTTGGCATTTATTTAAATTACTTTTTTTTTTTACAATTTGTTTTTTCAAGGACCGTGCGAGACTTTGTTTTGCCATTTCTCTTCTAATCACCCATGTTCTAACAGTTTGAGTATTTATGCGACCCACCTAAATGTTCTTTTGGTTGGCATTGTTCGTCGGACGAGTCAACCTCACCTGTTAACCGCTTACGATCAGGTGGGCCGTATAAAAAAATGACCTTGTAGCCTATTTGCAGAAATAAATAAGCTTGTTTCACTCATCTCCAAGTACAGGAATTCCAATACCAGTTTCTTCCTCTGGATCGCATGAAGCGGCAAACGTTAACTACCAGGATATCTTCAAGATGGCTAGGCCCTTTAGCACTACATAGTTTCGCGCCCAGCACTAGCAGAACTGAGAAGCTGTAGACTCCTTTTCCAAAGGAGTTATGCTAGCTAAGGAGTAAGTAAACAGCCTATCCATGTCCCAGTCGCCGCAATCTCCTTCAAATGCCGATGGCACGTTGCTGCGACCTCTGTAGATGGCGACCAAAGATAGCTCACCGCCTGACAAGTATCAGGGTGTTTACTCTTGAATCCAATTCCAATCGATCGACATTGGTATTGGGAAATTTTGTATCTACTCTTGAGTTGCAACACTAGCGCGTATTGCATCCGTATTTTTTTAAGGGGGAAAATCATCGAATGGCTCTCCGCCTGGGTGAGGCGGGAGGTAGTGTCAGACTCTTACTGATTAAAAACCACCCCGTTCCTTGTCCTGCACGTCGAGCCGGACGGCCGTCGACCCGGTTACCCGTTAGGTTCACCGCGACATTGCATCCGAATTGCGTGGATATTGAATGAACTAAATTCTGAATGTTATTTTAACAGCTACAATTGGGGTTGTAGTGTTGACGTTGAATAATTATTGAAATTTTATTGGATTGCAATTGCATTGACATTGAGATTGGTTTCAAGAGTAAGCCTCCAGACCCGAGGCGAAGACGATGTGGTTTAACAAGACATCTTTGCTGATTTCCAACATGTTTAGTGTTAGCAATCTGATGATATCCTGTCGCTTGCAACGTGGAATAGTGAACGCAGGGTTATAAGTGTGCTTTGGATACACTAGAATACATTTTTGTAAACCTAAACAGATTGTTCGAAACGGAGTTTCGTTGTTAAATATTTTTTGTGTCAAAATTAAGAAATTATAAATTATGTAGGGAGTGGCATTCAATTTTAGAATCCTTATTAAATGCGCCAACTTCGGTGAAATTTGCCGCTACTAGCAAAGTGAAAATGTATTTTCAGTAGGTACCTAGGGATTGAGATGTGAATAGGGACGGAAGAGGAGTGAACTGATACTATGAAAAATTTCCCAATATCTCTTCACCCTTCTTCTGTCTCTATTCACTTCTCGACCCCTATACACCCCATTTTACCGTTAGTGACTTAAAGATAAAAAAATTATTGCGAATACCTACTTGGATCGTCAAATAATCATAGTCTTTGGTGGCCCAGAATTTATGTTTCCATAATACTGAAGCATTATTCAGAATAACGTAAGCAAAAATACAGACGAATATAAATAAAGAATTGTAGCCA